CAAGAATGCAAATTATTAAATAGTCCCCTCATAAATTTGTATGACACTTTTACTTTTCAGCTGCATATTTCTTTTTATTAGTATTGTCATCTATGTTACGGGTGTCTTTTTAATGAGTCATGGTTCCTTGGAAATCACACAGTTACCATGGCTTGCTAGTTTCACTTTTAGTTTTGAAGTTTTGTGAAGACAATGTGAAATTTTATTAGTGTTTAGTTTGAGAAATAGAGCTCGGTTGAACAGTTATTGCACTACATTGTTCAGGAGTCTTCAGATGATGCAGATAGTAAACAAATGTTTAGACGTCAAATCGTTTCAATTTTCAAATCAAATTTATTTGACCCCAAAACTAGTTTTATAAACATGAGGTATTAACTCGATTTACTTGGTTGTTGATTAGTCACTGCAATAGGTCAAGAAATCATGATCTATGTCAAAGATATGCACACTAGATTTAACAAAAAAAGTTGAAACTAGTACATATCCTTTGATTTCTAATAGCAATCTTGAAACTCTCGCCCCATGATAAGTGTAGTTTCTACACTTATTCGAAACCTAATGATGATATTTTATTATTTTTTTGATAAAATTCTACCTAATTTATGTTATATTGCATTTTTGTAGGTAAACATTTATGTTCGATGAAAAATTGGAGAAAAGAAGTGAAAATAGCTAAAAATGGCAAGATTCAAAATTTGGAGGCTAAAGTGAAAATACTCAAAAATTGTGTTGAAGCTCACGATGAAGATTCGAGAATGTTAGGGGTCAAATGGACATAACTAAAGATCAAAACAAGTGAAAATAATTTAATTTTCAACCGCACAAGGATGTCCAGATTTTTAGTTGGAGATTAAGACCCATTTTTGGCCCAGTAAAAGTTCGAATTTAAAAATAGCTATTTCTATAAATGTTGTATCCATTTGAGTTATCTTTTCAATGCATTTTGAATCGTCTTAATCGGATATTGAGAGAAAAAGTTATGATATAAATACTGAACAAGAAGCAGAATGGCAGCAAGGCAGCGCCCAGGCGCTACCTTTGTAGAGCCCAAGTGCTACCCTTTCGACAGCAGCAGAACTTTTACAGAAACCATAGCGCCTAGGCGTTGCACCGTACAAATAGGGTTTTCGCTTTTTGGGCCGCGAGAAGCCTATGAAAAGACTCCAAATTGGACAGGAACGTGAAATGAAGTATAAATAGACATAAGGAGGCACTAATAAGGGGGTTCCAAACATTGAAAAAAGAAATATATAATGAGAAATCGAAGAGTTAAATCAAGAGAAGAAA